TGAAAATTGTTTTTTTTTTTTTTTTTTTTTTAATTTATGAATTCTTCTTTTCATTTTTGATGTGTATATCCATGAGAAATTTTTCTTAAAAATCTACCAATATTATTAATCCTATAATTAAAAAACTAATTTTTTTTTCATCAAGATTTTTTCTTTAAAAGTAGGACGTATTTCTGGTAAAAAGTTTCTTGAAAAAATGTCATAAAAAATCTATCAATTTTTGGTCAGGCGGTGTTTAAGAAAATCTCTATAGGCATCTACTTATTTTTGTGGAGGTGTCTTCTATATTTTTTTTTTTGTTTTCTAAACAATCACGGATATTTGCTTAGAAGATTTTTGAAAAAAATGTTATTAAAAACCGCCAATTTGTTGTTTGGAGGTCCTTGCATTTTCATTAGAAGATCCTCTAAATGTTTCTTACAAAACTATTTACTACTATTTTAATTCAATCATTTAAATTGTAATTCAGCAATTTCCCCAAATCCATCTCACAATCTCGTGAAATTGAAACCCAGCAAAATAAAGCAGCTAATAGTAATGCAATTGAAATGCATTTTTCCCAAAACCATAGCGAAGATTTCCTTAAGTCATTTGCCATGGCCACTAATCTGTAACAGTAGAGCAGCAAACCAAAGAACTGCCAATGCCATACATTTTATTCTTCCCTCTACCCTGCTGTCATTTGCTACTTATTTACAATTATTATTATTGTTACACGGTAGTGCAAAATCCTCCGCATTATCCCTGAACATAAATGAATGGCATAATGAAGTAGCTTAAGATGTGCCAACAACAACAACAGCTGCAGCAACGACAACGATGACGACGAAAAACATAAAGGAAACAACAAATTGTTAAAAGTCAACAGAAAAAGTGTACAAAAGAAAGAATAAATGAAGGCAAATACCAACCAACGAAACGGAGTCTTCTTCTGTCTTTCAGATCCTGTTGATGATAATACTGATGACAGGAGCTGGCCTTAAGGTAAGCTTGGCACAAAATATAACGATAAATGAAATTAAAGGAAGCCACCACAACAAACATCAAAATGCCGAAAAGAATACGAAAAAAGAACAGTAAAGAGCTTAAAACTCATTTAAATAAACCACAAAAATTGTTTAAGCCAAAAAAAAAAAACATGGAAACAAAAAAAGTTGCAATGGCTAAATAAAATTGTTGGCAGAATTAGTTATCGCTAGAATGGCTTCATTCTAATGCCTGCACAATGGGATGATTTTCTTTGGGCGATGAAATATTAAAATGCCGATAAAAATGTATACCAACTACAAGGTTCTCTCCCAGATACAAAGTTCGTAAATGGGCCATGTCGTTCCACGTTTTCCTATAGCCCCCATATAACGGTACCTCCCGATATTTGGTATTTTCATGATTTTAGGGACATAATTTACCGGAATTACTTTAAATTGCGTATTTGAAGTTCGTAATAGTCAAGTCTTCTTATAGCCTCAATATAACGGTACCTCTCGATAGTCCCGGAATCGTTTTAAATTTCTTATGGGGAGATCTTAATGGGTACTACAACCTATCGTATGCAGGTCTACGTCTTCGTATAGCCTTCATATAACGGTACCTCCCGATAGTCGGTATTTTGATGACTTCAGCAACACTATTTACCAGAATCGGCTCAAATTTCGTATTGGAAGATTTTAATGAGTACTTCAACCTATGGCAAAAAATTTCGTATGCAGGTCTACGTCGTCGTATAGCCTCCATATAACGGTATATCGGTCAGCTCGAAAATTTGCAAAGCCTAAGATTTGCATCAGTGCTAGGTCAGATGCGAAAATGGACAATATCGGTCTGCTCCATCAAAGAGTCCCAAATTTTGAATAATTATATCTCTTATAAAATTTGATATTAGAGTTTGATTATCTTCGGATTTCACATATCACAACATTTTTTTTTTAATCCAAGATCTGGTGTGAGGTTGAGATATATCGATCTACTTCTTCTGGTACAATGGGTCAAAATTTTGAATATCCGTGAAGCTCATAAAACCCGAAATTAATATTCGATTCCATTCAAACTTGCCACATCTCAATATTTCTATCAACACAAGGTCTCTTATAAAGATGGTATTAATCGGACCATTCCTTCTGGTACCGCCCTCACAAATATCCAAATTTTGAGCATAGAATCCGAAATTAGAATTCGGTTCTCTTCAAATTTCACACATCCTATTGTTTCTTCGCACACAAGATCTGCTGTGAAGATGGGTCAAAATGTTAAAATTCAAAACGCTCATAAAACGCGAAATAAGCATCCAACTCTTTTCAAATTTCACACATCCAAACATTTTTGCTAACGCAAGATCTGTTGTAAAGATGATAGATATCTGCTAAACCCATTCTACCTGACCACCAATGGATCACAATTTTCGATACTTATATCTGTCATAAAAACCACAAATGGCAATCGTTAGAGCACTCCAGCACTTAAATGTGAATACATCTTTTGTATCTCGTACCATTGCTCGTTACAGTGATACTGGTAGCGTAGCCCGACGTCAAGGAAGTGGGCGGAAGAAAACAGCAACATCAGCAGAAATGGTTCGGCAAATATTGAAAAATTAGCTTAGGTTAAAGCCATTGAAATTCCAAAAGGTGCAAGAACTTACACCGCAACAGAAAGAAAATAGACTCGAAAGAGCTAAAGAGTTGCTTCGCTTGGCCGAAAGTTGTGAACTGCCGATGAAAAGCATTCGTTGTCTAGCAGTAAGTGAAAAAAAAACAAAATGATCGTGTTTACGTGCCAAAGAGTTTATCTGAAAATTTGCACCTTCGGTTGGCCACCAGAACTCAAGCGCCGGCCATGGTGATGGTGTGGGCAGCCATAACAGCCGATGGTCGCTCTCCGCTCGTATTAATCGACCGTGGCATCAGAAAAAAAGCCGATAGCGAATATTATCGCGAAAATATTCTGAAGGGTGTGTTAAAGCCTTTGGCATGCAAACATTTTGGCCGCAGACCTTGGACATTCCAACAGGACTGAGCTCCATTATGCGCCTCCCAAGAGTGGTTACAAAATGATGTTCCTCGCTTCATTTCCAGCGCACCAGGGCCACCAAAATCTCCGGAACCAATCCGTTGGACTATAGTGTCTGGACTATTTTCGAAAGCTAGGTTGGCACAAAGAAATACAAAAGTGTGGATCACCTCAAGCAAGGGCTTCGCCGGGAATGGGCCAAGATACTGCAGAGGAACATTCGGGCAGTGTGTGCAGGTTTCATTGGCCGTTTGAAGGTCATAATTCGTGCCAAAGGTGACCAATTCGCACAAATGTAAATTTATTCTAAAATTTGATGCTATTTCCGACATTTTTTGCTTTCATTCAATAAAATTAAAAGAAAAAAATGTAAAAATTATGGCGTTTGACTTTGTTGCAGTTTTTGTAGCTCACCCTGTATATTTTTAGGTCCGATATGAAACCGGGTTTTCTTTATTTTAAAGTAATAAAATAATAAAATCCAAAGAGGACATATTAAAATTAATAAAAAACAAGTAAAAAAGTATCGGTCGGTTTTGCCGACAGATGTATACCCTCAGCCAATGTTCGATTATTTAAAAATATTTTTACTTCTGTTGTGATTATTCAAATGTTTAACCCCCTATGCAGAAGGTTCCGAAGGAATGGGTCAATATTGGTCATTTCGTATCGGACTTAAATAAATATGATATAAATATTGCGACGTGCTAGGTTTGGACTGTGTTATGTTAATGGAAATTTTGGGATGTACCAAGTCTTGAATAGAATCGGATGTCAATTTCGCTTCTTATGACTTTTATGGATATTCAAAATTTTGAGCTTTTGTAGGGAAGATACCAGAAGGAGTGGACCGACATATCCCACCTTCACAACGGATGTTTTGTTTGTGGAAATAATGGTATGTGTTAAATATAAAGATAATCTGACGCTTATTTCGGATTTATAAACGTTTTGGTTATTCAAAACTTTGGAGAGGTACCAGGAGGAATGGTCCGATCTCTACCATTTTTTTATAGATCCTGTGTTGATAGAAATATTCAGATGTGTCAAGTCTAAACGCGTTTTAGGAGCTTAAGGGATATTCAAAATTTCGACCTTTTGTGGGGGAGGTACCTGAAGGAATGGACCGATATCGTCCATTTTCACACCTGACCTAGCACTAATGTAAATATTTGGATTTGCAAAGTTGGGCCAAAATCGGATTATCGTTTCTCTATCTGTGAAATTTTTTTTTAATCCGACCATTTGTGAGGGACGTACCAGAAGGAGTGAACCGATATATTCCATCTTAACATTAGACCTTGGGTTAATTTAAATATTGGGATGTGTGAAATTTGAAGACAATCGGACTCTTACATCACATTTTATGAGAGTTGTAATTATTTAAAGTTTTGACACTTTGTGGGGGAGGTACCTAATGTAGTGGACCGATATTGTCCATTTCCGCACCAGACCTAGCACTGACGCAAATATTAGGATTTGCAAAGTTGGAGCAAAATCGGATTATTCTTTCTCTTTCTGTGAAAAAATATAGTTTTTGAAAATTTCGACCTTTTGTGGGGAGGTACCAGAAGGAGTGGGCCGATATTGTCCATCTCCGAACTCGAACTAAGTTTGACAAAAATATTACGATGTACCAAGTTTGGACCAAATCGGATACTCCCTTCGAGAGTTATCGTGCGCCAGACAGACAGACGGACGGACGGACGGACATCTCTAGATCGACTCCAAATGTATTGAAACGGATGTATTGAACGGTCCAAAGACACCTAGGGTCTAAAACCGTTATATCGACTAGGCACGTTTTGACCATATCAAATGATATATACCCTCTGTAGCCATATAGCTAAGGGTATAATTAAATGTTATCAAACAAATCTCATCTTTTAGTATCTTTTTTATATAAAATTTCTAATTCTGGAGTATTTCCATTAGTGCTTCAAGAAAAACAAAACAAAAAATTAATTTGTTAAGAATAATTATAGCTAAATGAAATTAATTAAAAAAGAGTAAAATTCCCTTCACTGTGCACATTTCAACTACATTTAAGCTTTGTCTCAAATGCCAAATCTTTATAAAATCTTTGTCTGACTGCATGAAAAAATATATAAAATAAAATCTATAAAAGTACACTCACACACACCTCACAGACACACATACAAAGGGTATACAAAATTCACACACTCACACTCATACAACACTTTTACAAAATAACTAAAGATATTCATATTCTATAATATTTCGCAATTTATTTTTCATTTTATTTTTCCTTACTTGTTAGGGTTTTTTATTTTCTTTTTTAAATTGAATCTGGTATCAGCATTTAACCACCAACATCCTAGTGTGGCATAAAAGGACAGCTCTTTCACAGAACTCCCATCTTCCAGCTATCCGCTACAACTAACGACTACTAACAGGCGACGTTATTTAAATGATTTGCACCTAGCACGACTCCTGCCGCCATATAGCCAACGACATTGCCATTTCCTTGTTGATAATGCTGTTGGGAAGCGTGCTGATGGTTATGGTGATTGTGATGATGCGTTGGCATGTGATGATGGTTATTTGTTCCGGTGCCAGACGACGACGATGTTGTTACAGACGCTGCGGCCGCCGCACCACTCTCCGACTGAGAGACTGAAATTAAAGTTCCATTGCCTCCAGCCATAACCGCATTACCGGTAGACGTTGCTGTTGTCGCAGGAATGCCACCCCCACCCACACCCATGCTACTATTCAGACTTTCAGTTACTTTTAAAATTCCAAGAGGTGTTGTGGCCGTGGCCGTTGTCGTTGCACTCGTACTTAGACTTGTGCCACTGATGTGAGCACTAATGCCACTCGGCACACTTGACATGACCGTACCGGCCGTCCCAGTTCTCAGCAACTCCTCATTAGGTATTGAGAAATGACGATAGGACATGTAATCGGGTGGCAGAGCGGCCTGGCGTTTGGCATTCTCAATGCGTTGTTTCTTCAGCTTCACATAGCTCAGCACAGATATCATGACGATGAAAACAATGATGCCCATGCAACAACCCACAATCAGACCGAGACGTCGTGTAAGTATGGAATGGATGAAGCCATTAGTGGCCAGGCCATTTTCGTCGGTGATAACACTGGGCGTTGAGTCGAGTGTCTGGACATCGGTGCAGGTGGAAAAACGTGAATTTTTGAGAACTTCTTGCAGGGCATTGTCGCTGGCCACGGTGTTTTCGATTAGGGCCTGCTGTTGTTGTGGCTGGGCCAGCGATGGATGTTCGCCAAAGGTCATGCTATTTGTATTAAACAAACTACCCGTATACGATAAATGATAGGGTGTATAGCCGGCTCCCTCCGGCACGGAATACGATGGCGAAGACGAGGATGAGGAGGCGGAGGCAAAGGGATACATTGCTGCGTTGGGTTCATCACGTGGCGCCATAAGGAAGCTATCGTTAACATGTATCCTTTGTAGGGCGTTTGCCACAGGCTCCGATAGCCAATTACCGGTGCCGATAACACAAATATGGTAACGTGTATTTGGGCTAAGTTTTGTTAATTTGGCTGAATGTGCCGAACCATTGAGGCGTTTGCCGCGTATCTGTAACAAAAGAAAAACAAGAAAAAAAAACACAGAAGACATGAGATAAGATGAAATGGACAAATCTTAAATGTAAGGTACGTGGGCACAAAGTTATGACATTATATTAAGAAATTGTTTATGTGTGTTGGATGTTTGGAAGGGGATATTCATGAAGGGGATATTTTGAACTTGGATATTCATGCCCCAAGGCTGTCGTTAATTTTTTTTTAGAAAAAATTTTGGATAGAAAGATCGAAAACAATTTTTTTAAATAAAATGTTGTGGGGTATATTTATATATTTTATTATATAATTTCAAATTCTTTTTCCGCTACAGAGGACTTAAACCAGTAAGGAAAAGTCAAAAGTCGGTTAGGCCAACTATGTAATACCCTACACCACTATGCATATTTAGCAGAGCTCCTGTAACAAAATAATTTATTTCAAGTAGATCAACTTTCGGATGAAACATATATATGGTAGCTATAGTTATATCTGAACCGATTTTCTCCGAATTCGATGTACTTTCTTCTAGACTTCGGTCGGATGTAAAAATTCAGGACTTTTGGGCTGATAGTGGCCATTTGGTCCACAATTAAAGATATATATGGGAGCTATATCCAAATCTGAATCGATCTTGATAAAATTTGGCGGAGGGATTTCCGGGCTGTATCTGATATCTGGTAGCAAAGATCATTGTTGTGGAATGCATATTACTCCTTGTGAGGGACTTTAAACCCCAAAGCGGTTTATGGAAGCTACAGCTATATCAGAACCGACTTACACCAAATTTGAAGTACTGGTTTAAAGGATGAATTCAGTCGTAATAGCCAAACTTCAGTCAATTTGGGCTGATATTAGCCATTTGACGCCCCAGAAACCTGATATCGGATAAAGATATATATATATATATGGGAGCTATATCTTCATCTGAACCGATCTTGACAACATTCTAAACACTTATTTCTTAGCTATATCTGATATCTGGTACCAGATATCATAGTAGTGGAGTGCATATTACGCATGTGAGAGACTTAAACTCCCAATTCGGATGAAACATATACATGGGAGATATAGCTATATCTGAACCGATTTTCTCTAAATTTGAGTTACTTGCTTCTACACTGAACTCGGTGGGATGTACTAAAATATAGATCATTTGGATTTATATTAGTCATTTGGTGCACAATTATCCCGAAATCAGTTGAAGTTATATGAGAGTTATATCTAAATCTGATCCGATTATCACCAATTTCAATAGGGTTCGTCCTTGGGCCAAACAAATATTGTTTGCAAAATTTCATCTCAATCGGATAACAAATGCGACCTGCATTTTGTTCACAAGAATACATGGACGGACAGACTGACTTGCACAAATCGAATCAGAAAGTGATTCAATGAAGATCCTCAAAAGTAATTATGGGTCTATCTCGCTTCCTTCTTCATGTTACAAACAAATGCACAAAGACATAACACCCTTACCACTATGTGGTGTAGGATATAAAAATAAGATTTTTGGCCAGGAAGTCCATGAAAAATGTACAAAAAATTATTGAAAAACATTTTTAAAAATCCACAATTTTATGCCCAGAAATAATTGAGAAATATTCCCCAAAAATTCACGAGTTTTGGACAGAAGAAGACTTGTAATAAATTAAAAAATTCCACGATTTTTGGCAATATTTATAAAAAATTTTTGAACAGAAAATTATTGAAAAACGCTTAAGAAAATCCACATTTTTTGGCCTGGCAATAAAATAGAGAGTTATTAAAAAAAAAAACTATTTAAAAAATCCTTCAAAATTTTTTTTAAAAAATCCATGATTTTTGGCCAGGAAGTCCTTCAATATCATTTTAAGATATGCTCGATTTAGGGTCAGGAAGTCCTTGATAAATAATTTTAAAACCCGTTTCGACACTTGATTTAAAAGTCTTTGAAAAATATATTTAAAAAATTTAGAGGTCATAGCTACGAAATTTTAAAAAATTGAAATTGAAATAGAATTTAAAAATTCTAGTCCAAGAAATATTTACAGAATAAATTTTAAAAGCATTTAGGACGCCTTAAAATATGACGATTTTCAGACAGAATGGCCTTGGCTACCTTGCTATCTTGAAATCACATTCATGTCCAGAAAAAAATATACCATTCCGGATCATAAAGAATATTTAAATATACTCTCGACCGGGAAGTATACGACAAAAATATAAAATATTTTTTCCGATCAGGAAGCCTTTGAAAATTATTAAAAGATATTATTATTTTCTCTAAAAAATTTTGACCTAAATTACCTAAATTTGATATAAATATTTCTATATACAATGTGGGGGCTTTTAAAGTTTGAGTAATTTAAAAAAAAAAATAATGTGTCAACATTCTTTACTATTTTGATTTAAAGTGAGTTATTAGTATTCATACTCATAGATGTAACCCCCTGTGATGAGAGGTCCAAATAAAATTATACTCCAACTCATTTCCATTAAATTTACTTGCAATTACTTAACTATAATCATATTGTAAAATATTTACTCTAAAATGCAAATTTCACCCCACCCCGAAATTATGTAGTTAAGTTCATTGAAGCAAAGATTTCAATATGTTCATCATTCTTAAATCTCAGCTCAAATTACGGCAATAAAATGTAAAATAAAAAAAAAAAAAACATTCAACCGAAATTGTCGAAAACATTGTCAATTACAAACACGTACCGAATTACATGGAACATTAAGAGTCGGATGTGCCATATCTTTGTGTACACGTTTGTTCTGTACTGTTCTTCTCGCCCTGCCCGTAAGGACATTCAAATGAGTCAATGCGTGTCATTGTGGGCCTATTTCCGTTTAGTGATGCATTTGACAAGCGTAAAACAAGGAGGCTGTAGTATCTCCCATCACACAAAAACTGCCACCCACACACACACACTCACATACTTGCATACAATCTGTGTATGGGCTTTAGGCCTATCCCCGTATGTGTAATTATTGTTAATTTTATTGCAGTAATTTTCCAACAGTAAAAATTGTCACTTTTCCTCCAATGATTGTAGTTGTTGGATTCCGCACATGTTTATAGCTATATACTGCTGCTGTTGTTGTTTTTGTTGCCGCTGCTATAACATTTACGACAGTAGCTGGTGTAACTGCAGTTTTATGTTGTTCGTAATTTCGTTTCAGCGTGCCAAAAAAGAAACAGTGGCATGAATGGCAACAACAGGATGTAATGAAATTTAAAATGATTTCTGTCAACCGCCCAAAACCACCTCCATATAGTTTAAAACAGATCCATTACGTATGTTGATGAGCTGCCAGCGAACAATAGGCATGGGTCGCGGCATTGGAATGCATGCATAAATATATACCCAACAGTTGAAAAATGTACAGGGCTGTTATGTGGGAAGGACTGTGGGATTCTAAGGAATATTCTTTAAATACATCGTGAACTCTTCAAAACCTATTCTCTTAATTCTCAATTTTTATGGATTTTTTTTGATATATCATTCAATTAGGAAAGATTGTTCACATTAGGATAATTAATGTATATGTTATTTACACAGATTTTAAATCTGCAGAGACTTATTTGAATATTTCTTTTTCCTTTACCTATGATACTACGACCATTCGGGATGAATTCACAGAAATTAAGACTTTAATCCTAAAACATATTTTGCATATTTCGGATATTCAATGTTTCATGGCGAAAACTGTTGTCGAATATTTTAAAATTTCGTAAAAATGTTTCTGATAGTATTTAACTAATCTCTGGAAATAGAAAAAAATATTTTTTTTACAGAAATATTTTCCGCACATTTTTCATTCCATTTGTAACACCCCGAAATATATATTTTAGACCCCACAAAGTATATAAATATGTCGATTTAGCGATGTCCGTCCGTCTGACCGTCTGTGAAAATCACTTTAGCATCCGAACGAAATGAATTAGGTTGATACAATTTTACTCAAATGTGTATTATGTCTGCAGGACTTTTGGTATTAAAAAAGGGTGATGTAGGTCCACGTTTTGGTGTAGCCCCCATATAATGGTACCTCCCTTTTTTCGGTATTTTGGTGATTTAAGCGACATTATTCTCCGAAATGGTTTCAAATTTGGCATTTGAAGTTCGTAGGGGATACTACAGCCTATGACAGAAAATTGTCTGTGCAGGTCCCCCATATTATGGTACCTCCCGATGTTCGGTATTTTGATGATTTTAGCTACATTATTCACCTATTTTTTTAAGCTTCGCATTTGAATATTGTAATGACTCATGACAGAAGTTGTCGAATAGACCCTAATATAACGGGTACATTCGGTATTTTTAAGATTTTAACAGAATATTGAACGGATTTTATTTATTTATTTTTTTTTGAAAATTACGAAATTCCTTCCAAATGGTGGAGGGTATTCAAAGTTCGGCCCGGGAGAATTACAGCTTTTTTAATTGTGTGTTCAGGAAACACTTAAAATGGTGGATCCATCCCCACAATTTAGGCTAACATCCAGCGTTAATTTTCGTACACATATAGTAAAATCCTTCTAAAAAATCGTTCACATTGACAACGACACATAAAACGTTCAGAATTCCAGCCCTATCAGATGTTGTCGTATTATATTGCATATCTCGACATCCACTGCTTTATCCCAAACTTACACATGACCAGTTCTAATATTCTTGTTATTCATTCTTTTTTGTAAAATTTTGCTTTTCTTGGTCAATAAAATTTAGAATTTAAAAAACCAATCTTTATAAGACCAATCTTGAAGCTGGTATCAATTCAAAATAGCTCTTCATAACCAATGATATATTTCTGGGCACATTTAGTTCAAATCTCCAAGAATTATATAAATTCTGCTCTGTCATATACCATGGTTAAAAAACAGCTGCGACCGGCAGGGTCAAACCTTTAAGACCCTCCACCATTTCGAAGAAATTTGCAAGACGTAAGAAAGTCGGCTGAAAAATGCGGCTATATTATTAAAAATTCTGAATATATAAGTCTATAAGAAAACGTAGACCTCTATAGCAGATTATCTGCTCTAGGACAGTGCCTAACACGACCTACAAATACCATGTTTGAGATAATTCTATTGAAAAACCAGTAAAGAAAGTCCTAAAGTTGGGCGGGCCGATTTTATGATACCCTACACCACTTTGCTAATTTAGTTGAGCTCCACTTAATAATTAAAAGTTTTTATGGGAGAATTCAATCATACACGCTATGATTACAATTATAATTTAAAGTTCAAAGGACTAAATATGTCGAAGCATTTGTATCTTTTAAATTCGGACTCGTATTGCCCATTGGGTGCACAATTAATTTGAAATCAGAAAAAATATATATGTGAGCTATATCCAAATCGGAACCGATCTCGATAAAATTTGGAAAAGATATTTCTGAGCTGTATTTGATATATTTTCCTGCATATCGTTGTTGCAAATCGGATGAACAATATATATGAGAGCTATAGCTATATCTGAACCGATCTTCACCAAATTTGGCATACTACCTTCTAGTATGTGCCAAATTCCATCCCATTTGGGCAAATATTAGACGTTTGGTGCACAATAAAAGGTAAATCGGACGAAGTTATATATGGGAGCTATATCCAAATCTGAACCGATCTCGATAAAATTTAGCAAAGGTATTTCTGAGCTGCATTTGATATATTTCCCCAAATATTGTTGTTACAGAGTGCATATTACGGCTGCGGAGGACAAAAATAACAAATCGAATGAACAATATATATGGGAGCTATAGCTATATCTAAACCGATTTCGATCAAATTTGGTCTAATTTGGTTTTATGTGCAAAATTTCATACTATTCGGGCTGATATTACACGTTTGGTGCACAATAAAAAGAAAATCGGACGAAGATATATATGGTAGCTATATATAAATTTTTACCGATTATCTCTAATTTCAATAGGGTTCGTCCTTGGGCCAAACAAATGTTGTTTGCAAAGTTTCATCTCAATCGGATAATAAATGCGATCTGCATTTTGTTCACAAGAATACATGGACAGACGGACTGACCTGCATAAATCAACACAGAAAGTGATTCTATGCATATCATCAAAAGGAACTATGGGTCTATCTCGTTTCCTTTTGCCTGTTACAAACAAATGCACAAAGACATAATACCCTGACCACCTTGTGGTGTAGGGTATAAAAAACATTATATAAAATGCACATCATAAAAAATTTGAATATAGGAGGTACCGTTATATGTGGCCTATATGAAGACGTGGTTTTGAAAAGGCAATTTTCTGTCATAGAAAAGAGCATCCATTGGGAACTCCCAAATTTGAAATAATTTCGGCGAAAAGTGGAGCTAAAATAATGGAAATACGGAATATAGGGAGATACTGTTATACAATTTTCTGTCAGGGTAAGTGGAAACCTTGGAAATCAAACTTGAAAAAAATCCGATGAAAAATAGAGCGCAAATTTCTAAATACCGAATATCGGGGGTACAGTTACACGGGGATTATACCTTAAATAGGGTGTACAGGGTTGCCCATATTCGACGGATCCATCTGGCAATGCCATAACTTTTAACAGAGATGTCACATCGCTTAATGACATACCGCGTTTGAAGCGTCAGTCCAAGCAGATTTTTACCATGAACCAATACACGCTACGCGAGCGCTCTATTTGAAATTTACATTCAACAGAAGAAGTCAATTGTGAAAACAAAATTTTCGACTGGTAAGGCTCGTTCTAATCCGAAGAGGCCATATAAAAGTCGACCAAGGCGATCGGCCGAGAATATCGCTGCCGTACGAGCCAGTGTTGAGAGGTCCCCAAGAACATCCCAAAAACGCCGTTCTCAGCAGTTGGGCATGGCTCGGTCCACTTTACAACGGATTATTCGCATTGATTTGCATTTGTTCCCGTACAAAATTCAATTGACGCAAAGAATGTTGCCTGCGGACAATCCTCGTCGATTGGAATGGGCCCATGCGTCCGTCGAATATGGGCAACCCTGTACATACATTCGTCCATCAATTCCAAAGGTTAAATATTTAGAACATTTTTCATTCTGAATTCTTGAAGACATCTTCGTTAGTCCATTTAGCTTATCACAGTTGCAAATTCCTTCCAATGTTTATGGTACATTATTTTGTACTCTGCTGGTTGGAATTTTAAACCTGCGGCCGTATTTATCTCTACACTGCAGGATTGAAATTCATTCCAAGTTTTACAAGTTCTAGCTTCACGCGTTGGCTTAATACCAATACACACCCCATTTTGAATCATGTATACATTTAGTGCATTTTTAATTCGAATTTTTACAAACCCAGCTGTCAAAATTCAATGGCCATATTATGTTTTAAATTTCAAAAGATAGTGAATCCTAGCCCTATACTATGTATATGACAATTTCAGTAATTATATACATATATAGGCATGTGTTCGTATGCATGCATTTATTTATATAGTTTGTATGCCCATGCACTTCTACTTACCTCATCTATGTCCGGATAACCGCCCATACCACCTCCAACACTATTGCTGCTACCACCTCCACCACCGCCACTGCCATCACCAACAATGGCATGATAAACAATTTCATAGCCGTTTAATCCTAAATGCTCACGACTTTGCCAGGATACAATAACCGAATATGGTTGGATATCCTGTATGGCAATTTTTGGTATTAATGGTGCATCACAGAATTGTTGCGGCTCCATTTTGGCAAATATCTTGCCACGCAACTCAGCCGGATGTTCGCACCTTAAATAATTTATGTTATCGCCCGATGACATCATTACCGAGGAGAGAGAAGACGACGATGATGATGAAGACGATGATGGCGACGACAGGGAATACGAGGATGACGACAGCGATGACGTTGCAAAAGAGGAGGGTGATATTGAGCCACCCGATAATGATGAAGTCGACGAGGATGATGTTAAGCTGGCGGTAGTGCATGAAGACCATTTGCGATGATCACGTAACCATTCCCAGAGTTTTTGGGCATCACAACTGCAATGCAGTGGATTTTCTGTTGAAATGGACACCAACATGCATGGTGTTGTTGTTGTTGTTGGTGGTGGTGTTGATGATGTCGGTCGGTGTCATCATGTAATTCATATATTTGGCCAAGCGTTCGAGGAATTGAGCCAAAAATTTTGCGGTGTGGATAAAGTCAGGCGATTAAGTTATATTCCACATCGTACAGTTTAATTAATGTCCACGCAGTCATTTTCGGGCAGGACGGTGGACACAATGAAATGGCAATGTTGTCATCGCATTCCAGGTTGCATGCAATTCACATTGTGGTCCATCCAGTTGGTTTTACACAAATTGAGAGAGAGAGAGCGAGAGAGATATGAAAAGAGAATGAAGAGGATAAACATTTCGTGTTATTATTGCCAAAAAATTAAATGCCATTTATTTGGGTTATGTAAATATTTTAAATCACTGCGATTTAATTAATTTGAGCGACAATTACGGATGTAGCAATTAGGGCATATTTAATGAGGGAGATATTTAAAGGGGTGTTTCTTAAAATATGAATATTCTTTAAATCGAACTAAGTTGAAATGTCAATTTGTGAATGATAACGAGGTGCATTTCTTATGCTACCCCATATAATGCGAAGAGATAGGCAAGTTGGTTAAATTTTTCTAATGTCTAAATATTTTTCAATCTTTGACCAATAATAGGAACATATTTAAAGGACCACAAGGTATACTTTTCCAAGAATTATGAATTTAAAAATAATTATTCTAGCTCTATATCATACAGGTTGAGATAAAACAAGTAAAGAGTCAGTAAGTTCGGCCGGACCGAACTTTGAATACTCTCCACCATTTGGAATGTATTTGGATATTTTCAAAAAAAGATAACATTCGCCAAAAGTTCTGCTAACATCTTAAAAATACCGAATATAGCCGTTATATTAGGGTCTGTACGACGTGCACCTACATAGGCATTGTTTGTCACAAGCCATTACCATATTCAAATTCTAAGCTTGAAATAAAATGTAAATATTGTAGGTAAAATCATCAAAATACCGTACATAGGGAGGTACCGTAATATCGGAGCTATACGAAGACCTGGACCTGCATAGACAATTTTCTGTCACAGGCTGTAGCTTCCATTACCAACTTCATACCAACGACATCTCAAACAATTTCGGTGATTATTATACCTAAAATCGTCAAAATATCGAATATAGGGAGCTACTGATATGTGGGGCTTATACGAAGACCTCGACCTGCATAGACAATTTTTGTCACAGACTATAGTTTCCATTACGAACTCTAAATACGTAATTTGAAACTACTACGGCGAATAATGACGCTAAAATTATCAAAGTACCGAATATTGGGAGGTGCAGTTATATGGGGGCTATAGGAAGACGTGAACCAGCATAGACAATTTTCTGCATTAGGCTGTAGTATTCATTACGAACTCCAAACACCAAATTTGAAAAAATTCCGGTGAATAATGTCGCTAAAATCATCATCATCATGTCAGAATAAATGGCGAATATTATCGCGAAAATATCCTGCAGGGTGTATTAAAGATTTGGACATTCCAACAGTACTCAGCACGCGCCTCCAAAGAATGGTTACAGAATTAAGTTCTTCGATTCATTTCCAGCGCACAATGGCCAACAAAATCCAGGATAACAATCCGATGGACTATTGTGTCTGAAGTATTTTGGAAAGCAAGGTTGGCACTTAAAAGATACCAAATTGTCGATCACCTCAAGGAAGCGTTTCGCCGGGAGCAAGAAACAGAGATGCAAGTAACAATAGTTTTGTAATTTGTCTCTTCAAGGATCTCCTGTTTACAAATCTTGCATTTTTTAATATTTTAAGGATCTGGATATTCAAACTTCTTTCCAGAATATCCTGACCAAAAACTGTGATTTTTTGGATTTTTTCCCATGGACACCCTGGCCAAAAGTTTTGATCATATGTTTTTATTTTTAAGAAAAAAAAATTCGAAGGACCTCCGTGGTAAAAGAGCATGACGCAGTATTTTTTTAATTTGTATTTCTTATCACAAATCTTGATTTATTTGTATTTTTAAGGATGCAGATATTTTAAAATTTTCCAAAACGTAATAATCAAAAACCGTACCGTGACTTTTTTGGAATTTTTCGCGTGGACATTCTGGACAATACTTTCGATCATAAATTTTAAAAGATTTTTTTAATGTTTTTTTTTTGTTGTTGTTGTATATTGTTGACCTGTTATATTTATTTTACTTATTTGGTTAATAGCTTGGCTTAAGGTCATTTTTTTAAATGTCAATGACCTCTTTTCTAAAAGACTTGGATTTTTTAAGAGAATTTTTGTGGGTAAAAACTGTTTTTTTTTTTTTATTTTTGCTTGGACACCCTTGAAAAGAGTTGTTAACAAGGTCATTTCGACAACAATTTTTTTTTTTCAGCGAAAGATTTTACGCAAAGACCTCCTTATCAAAAAATGTATTTTTTCCTAACATATGTTTTTTTTCAAGGAAGACTTGTTACACCGAATTTCATCAAGGACTTCTTGGTAAAAGATCATGGTTATTTTATCTAATATTAAAATCTTTTAAGAGTATTTTGACTGAGAATTTTAATTTTTCGAGAATTTTTTTTTTTAATCCCCAAAATCATGGATGTTAAGGGAAAAACCTCCTGACTTAATGTTTACAGGAAATTATTTTCAAGAAGTTGAGATTGTGGTTTTTGAAAAAATAATTTTAATTATATCACGGACATTTTGGTTTTTTAAAGAATTGACCACAATTTGACTGCTTGACCACGATTTTTTAAGAAATAATTTCACAAACGTCGTTTATTATTATACCCCCAGCCTTGTGGCTACAGAGGGCATATATATTATTTGATACGTCCAAAACTTGCCTCATCGAAATAATGGTTTTAGACCCTAGGTCTCTTTCGACCGAATCTGTTTCAGGATATTTGGAGTTGATCTAGGGTGTAAGTCAATGTCGTGTCAATGTGAATATGGGGTATGTCGATCCACTCTATCCTGTAATTCCCGCACATAATTCCAACATTATCCGTAAAATAAATATCCCATAAAAATTGGAAAAAGAAGTCTATATAGTCCAAACCTAGACCTCTTGACAAAAGAACACGATTTTTTTATAGATATCTTGCAAATGTTGATCAATTATCCTCTAACCAAATTTGAGCAAGATCAAGAGCCTGCTGAAAAGAATTTTTAAAATATTTTTAAGGATCAAAAGTCGAAAATTTTTTCAAAGTTCTCCTGACCAATTGTCAAAATGTTGAAAAAATAACAAGTAAAAAGAGCCCGTCCGAACTTTGTATACCCTACACCACGATGTTTACAAAGTAAAGTGAAATAATGAAAAAATAGAACATGTTAACTTAGAATATTAATCCGTTTTAATTTAAATAACACAAATAGTAAAAAAACCTATTTTATTTATTGTGGCAGAAAATACTGAAAATCGGAAGATACCGTTATATGAGAACTATACCAATTAGTGGACCTGAACCGAACATTTTTTGCAAGGAGAGAACATACTTTTGAAGAAACCCAAATGACAAGTTTCACCTAATTTGGTTGGATGTTGTCGCAGAAACCTTCAAAATACGGAAGATCTGGAGGTACCATTGTATTAGGGCTATACCAATTGGTGGACCTGCACCGAACATTTTCTGCATGAAGAGAACATACCTAGTAAGGAGCCCAATTTTCACCTTATTTGATAGAATATGGTAGCAGAAATCTTCAACGTACCTAAGCGTGGACCAATATAGCCCATTTCCTATACATCGCTAGATCACATTACATTTTTATTCTGATCAGGAATTTATATACTTTATGGTGTTATAAACGGAATTAGAAATTTAATATACCTTCCATTGTATGGTGGAGTTTATAAAAAATCGTTGTCCACCTGAGCTAAAATTGTGGACTTTTAAATTAACATTTTCTAAGCAAAAAATAGGATTTCTATGTTGATTCTGATGTTCTTCAAAAACTATCGATTTTTTATTAAAAACATCAACATATTGTAATTCTTATAAATATTCCCTACTTTACCTAATTCTTTGCCAACCGATAATCCATAGTTGTTTCATATTTCCCATTCACTTACCTTCCAATCGTAGCGTCTTAATGTTCGCCTCCAGTGGCTTCAATGCCTCAATGGGTACCAGCTCAAAATAGTTCTTTCTCAAATCCAAAATATGCAATTTACGCAAATATCGGAAAGCATCCACCGACAAGACAGTCATACGATTCCCCATTAAATATAGCTCCACCAAATTATGTAGATGAGTAAAAGTGAATCTCGATATCCGATCCAATTGATTAAAAGATAAATCACAAACTTGTAGCTGCACCAAATCTGAAGAGAATTCATCTAGTTCCCGTAAAATATTATGGGAAATATTCAGCACTCGAAGATTATTTAGACCCTTCAAACGTTCAATGGGCAAAAGTTCCAATTCATTGATGCTAATATCCAAGGTGAGTAGATTGGTGAGATTCGTGAATGCTCCGGGAGAGATTCGTGTTATGCGATTGTTGACCAGGTGTAAATGTTGCAAAGCTTTGAAGGCTTTGAAATCGTAGGAGGTAAGTATGGAGAGATTGGTTTGACATATGTAGAGCTCCTTGAGATAGGGATATCTTTCTTCGATTACCGTGTAAATAGTGTTGATGGGATTACCGGTTAAATTTAGCCAGGAGAGTCTAGGCAAGGAGATATCCGATAGGGCGGAGCTAGGTATTTGTAGAAAACGATTACTGGATAAGTCGACTTTTTGCAGATTTATGGAGTTCCTTAGGAAGTTGGCTGGCAAGGAGAGCAAATGATTGCCACTTAGGTCGACGGTGTCGAGTTGGGTGAGATTGACGGCATTGAAGCCGGTAAGGGATGTGATTTTGTTGTCCTTTAGATTTAGTTGCCTTAAATTAAGAGTTCCGCTAAGTTTGTAAAAATCAATGGTGGAAAAGAGATTGCGCGACAAGTCCAATATCTCCAAGGTGCTCAAATTGTACAGGGCCACATGGGGAAATTCCATTAAATGATTGCGACATAGCCGCAATTCCTTGAAGACATTCAGGCCATTGAAAAGATTGCGGGTCATTTTGGTCAGCTGGTTGTCGCACAGATCCAATTTAACCAGATTGGTGTTTTTGTTGAACATATCCTCGGGTAGGGCGCTAAGTGAACAATTGGCCATGGTCAGGTGCTGCAGCGATCTCAGCTTATCAAACATGCTGGCCATTGCTTCCATGTGATTGGTGAAGTCATTGTGCGATAGATATAAAGTGCGTAAACCTGGTAACTCTAGTTTTTGTATATCGGACGGCAAGAGATAGTTAAGCTCCAAATTAAGTTCATTGAGATTTTGTAGCGACTTAAAGGTATTGGTTTCGATTTTCCTTAAAGAGGTATTTTTCAAATTCAAATGGGTCAGCGATAAATCTTCCATGAACACATCGTTGGTGATTTGATGCAAAGGGTTATGAGAGAGATCTAATATTTTCAGATTTTTCAATTTATTGAAGGCATAACCCTCAATGGCCTCGATGAAATTGTGGGCCAACAGCAGTTCCTCCACATTTTGCAGGGCTCCAAAGTAATCTCTTCTCAGCTGTTTCAAGCGATTCCAACTCATATCGAGAAATTTCAGATCCTTCAGTTTGCCAAATGTGTCACGATCAATGTCCCGTATAAAGTTGTGATTCAAATAGAGGCGTGCCAGATCCACCTGATCCTCGAACATGGATTTTTCCACTCGAGACAATTCATTGTGACTCAACCACATGATTTGGATTTTATCCTGCCTCCGGAATGTTTTTACATGGATTTTATTTAAATAATTCGCCTCCAGCTGAATGGTGAGCAGCGACGAATTGTTGGCCTCCTTGGGGAAAATATCCTCTAGCACTGTCAATTGATTATCCTGTAGATTTATGTGCTGCAAATTATACAAAGTTTGAAATGCTCCCGGTTCAATATCCTCAATATTATTTTTCTGCACATGCAACTCCTGCAACGTGGGCAGAGGTTCAAACACTCCCTTCCTTATACGCCTTATGCGATTGTTGTGCAAGCGGACCTCTCTCAAAAATTCCAATTTACGAAACATACCAATTTCCAAATCCTGGATTTCATTGTCATCCAAGGACAGGGAACTCAATTTCTGACACTTATCCAACAAAGTAACCGGCAGGAGGGGTATAAAATTCGCCCTCAAATATAAATGATCCAAATTTACCAACGAAGAAAACACATTTGGATCCACATGGGCAATGGCGTTGTACTCCAAATATATCACCTCCACATTCGAGGAATTTGTAAAGGCATCCGCGGGCAATTCCAAAATATTATTTTCTGAGAGAAAAATCTCACGTAAATGCGGCAAATTCGAAAACACCCCACTTATCGAGTGGATGTGATTGTGGCTCAAATCCACCGTTTGCAAACGTTTATTTTTATCGAATATTTTGGAATCCAAAGATATAATTCGATTGTGTGACATATCCAAAGACATCAATTCCTTCAAACTCTTAAAAGCATCCGCCTGCACCGTCTCAATTTGATTTGCATACATTGACAACGTTTTCAACTGGGGAAATGTACGAAAGCAGTCGTCCAGAATTTCCGTGAATTTATTTGAACTCAAATCCAAAAATGTCAGTGAAGGTAGTCGTAATGCTGATGCAGCCGTTGCATTATTCGTCACCAATTGAATATCCCCGTAAAATGTTGAAATTTTATTATTCGACAGTCGCAGAATTCGCAAATAATCCAATTTTCTTAAGGCCATCATTGGAAAGGATCTCAAACTGTTTTCGGACAAATCAATTTCTTGCATAGACTCTTCCAAGCCCACAAAGGCATGTTCTGGAATGCTTTGCAAGCGATTGCCTTTCATATTCAATTTGGAAAGACGTAGGCCGTAGAAACTGTAGTCTTCGATTTTCTCAATTTCATTGTAATCAAAATCTAGGGCGCTCAATTTTTGCATGGAATTGAGGGCACGTGATGGTAGCTGTAATGAGAGAAGAGAGAAAATAATCGTTATTATTAAATAATATGTTTAAATATAAGGTATATTTTTTTTTGACTTGAAATTATCAATACATACATTTGTATAAATGAAAATATATACATACATAATAGAAACCATAAATATGGGATAATGTTAGTATGTATCTGTGTTTTTGAAAATACGAACTAGAGGGTTACAAAAATTTATACAATATTATTAGTGAACACCAAAGCTAAAATTAGGCCATACACACTAAGTTCGAAGAGTACTAAATGCTAATTATCTTATATTTGTCTATTATAATTTTTTGGGATATATAGCCGTGCGGGGCCGACCATGTGATACCCTACAACACTGCAATATGTTGGAAGCCCCCTTATGTCCAAATTAATTTCGATATTGAAATAATGTCATAGAGGCCTGCCCAGATTTTACCCTTATTTACGCACTCCGCCGTGTTGTTATGTATTCGAAAAAAATTCACAAAAGCCATGGTCCATTTTACAGCTAAGTATGATCCAATAGTCATTCAATATGCTCGACTTCTTTCCTCTTTCAGGAAAATGTTTTTTTGTTTTGGTCCTCTTAATTTAAATCTCCATTACAGTAGGCCCTAACGCTACCCCATGAAAAAATTCGTGGGTATCGGATTGTAATTGCGACCTATATATAAAACCTTCAACACATAGTGTTGGGGGGTGTAGAAAAACTTTAACAATTTACAATTCAAAATTGTAAGTCAAAATGAAAAAATCGCATGCGATAAAAAATATGACAAAAATTAAAAAATGTAACAAAAAATATTCACTTCTTTATTGGCATATTTTTACGCCATTTTCTCTGATGTTATGCTTTTCTTGCAAGATACCATTCCGAATTGATGAGAATTGTGAAAATCTGTCCAGCGGTTCTTGGTTTAGCGATCTAACTAACATTCCCTTCTTTGATATATAAGATTGTATATTTTTGCTATACCTATATGCGAGATTTTGGATATGAGCATCAATGTAACGGTCAGAAGTGACATTTTCGGGTATTTGTGATTTCGCCAGGATAAAAAATAACCGCGGTTTAGTGGAAAATTTCGTATTTTTTTTTTAAAAAAAAGCTATGGTCTATTTTACCCACTAAATATTATCCGACCAAAATTGGAATGCTTCTGCCCAGCCCTAAGCTCTAGCCCCATGCTAACTTCCGCTTCGATTGGTCCATAATTGCGACCTGTAGAGCAACTGCAAAATCAGGAAATTTTTCAGTTTTTGGTCCTTTCCAACCACTAAATATTGTACGATCATCTCCAAAAACAATAGAGTTCTATTCTGACCCTAATCCCACCTACATTTTCAATTTCGTGGGAATCGGGCCATAATTGCGACTTGTAGAGTGATTACAAATTAACATGGATAGACGGACATACATAGCTAGATCGACTCCGGTCGGCGAGCTAGGAAGATCCATATATACCTTCCTATGTGGAAAACCAATATTTCGAGGTGTTACATAATTTTTAGCCCAATCAAACTTATAATAGTGTTGTGGGGTATAAAAACCAGTAAGGAAAAGTCAAAAGTCGGACGGGGCCGACTATATGATACCCTACACCACTATGCATATATAATAGAGCTGCCGTAACAAAAGAATTTACTGGAAGTAGATCATAATTCCTATCAACATTTGGCTTGAGAACAGTTATAGTTTGGTTTCAGAGGTATCGAATATATGGGAGGCATATCCAATTCTGAATCGATTTTCACTAAATTTGACGGAGACATATTATAACAAATAACATTGCTATAGAGTGCATCACATCACTTCGAGAAGGATTATATTAAAAAATATATATATCGGAGCCGAGTTCCACAAAATGAAAACGTACATCCTGAAGTTTACTCCATTTGGGCTGATATTAGATATTATTAGCACAATAAAACTGAAATTGCTTTAAGGATATACATGGGAGATATATCCAAATCTTAGTCGTTCTTGATAAAATTTGGCAAAGGTATTTCCGAGCTCTATAATATATATGGTATCAAATATCATTGTTGTGGAGTGCATATTACGAATATGACTTAAAGACCAAATCGGATGAAACATATATATGAGAGCTATAGCTATATCTGAACCAATTTTCACCAAATTTGATGTACTTGCTTCTAGGCTGAATTCGGTTGGATTTACCAAATTTCAGGTTTCAGAATTTGGATTGATATGTACCATTTGCTGCACAATTATCCCCTAATTGGTTGAAGATATGTGTATATGGGAGCTATATCCAAATCTGAACCAATCTTGATAAAATTTGGCAGAGGAATTTCTGATCTGTATCTGATATCTGGTACCAATTACAATTAATGTCGAATACAGATTACGAATGTGAGGGCATTAAACACTAAATCGGTTGAAACACATATATGGAGCCATAGATATATCTGAATCGATTAACACCAAATTTGAAGTATTGCTGTCTAGTATGAATTAAGTCGTAATTGCCAAAGTTCAGTTCATTTAGACTCATATTAGCCATTTGGTGCACAATAAACCTGACATCGGATAAATATAAATATGAGAGCTATGTCATAATCTAAACCAATCTCGATAAAATTTTACAGAAGTATTTTCGAGCAGTATCTGATGTCCGGCAGCATCTGATGTCCGGTGCAAATATCGTTCTTGTGGAGTGTAAATTACGCAGATGAGGGACTTAAAACCCCAAATCGGATGAAACATATATATGGGAGCTATAACTATGTCTGAACCGATTTTCTCCAAATTTGATGTACTTGCTTCTAGACTGAATTCCGTAGAATATACCAAAACTCAGGTCATTAGGACTTATATTAGTCATTTGGTGCACAATTTACCGGAAATCGGTTGAAGATATATGGGAGCCATATCTTAATCTGATCCGATTATCACCAATTTCAATAGGGTTCGTCCTTGGGTCAAACAAATATTGTTTGCAAAATTTCATCTCAATCGGATAAAAAATGCGACTTGCATTTTGTTCACAAAAATACATGGACGGTCATTCATAAATCGACTCCGAATTTGATTCTATGAAGATCCTCAAAAGTAACTATGGGTCTATCTCGCTTCCTTCTCCATGTTACAAACAAATGCACAAAGACATAACACCCTTCCCACTATGTGGCGTAGGGTATAAATAATCGCTGATTTGTTTGGAGATATCAGCAGATATCTATTATCTTCACAATGGATCTTGTATTGACAGAAATATTGAGACGTTCTGAGTTTGAAAGGAATCGGATGTTCATTTCGCGTTATACGAGCTGCAAAATTTTAAAATTTTGTCCGTGTCAGATGCAGTAAGCTGATACATCTTCACACCAGATCTTTTGTTAATAAAAATATTGGGATGTTAGAAATTTGAAGACAATTAGAATCTTACTTCACATTTTATAAGATTTTACCCTTTTGTGGATGAGGTACTTGATGGAGTAGGTCGATATTGTCCATTTTTGCACCTGACCTAGCACAAATAAAAATTCAGAATATCCAAAGTTTAAACAAAATAGAATGATCCTTTCTTGTTATATAAGGTAAATTATTTTCTGTAAAAATATTGACAATTTCTAGGGGAGGTACTAGAAAGAATAGACCAAACCCGTTATTTCGGTGAGACACCTTTAGCTAGTTAATTTATAATCTACAAAATACTGAAAATGCAGAGGTACAGTTATATGGGCGATATACCTAGACATGTGGAGACAGTTTATCCACCCAGAATTTAATGCTGACCAGAAATATATATTTCATGGAGACTCTGACGAAATGCAATAGGTTGCAAATTTAATTAGTATTTTAATCAACCTAATACTATGGTGGAAGGCATAACAATTATGTAATGTTCCAGCTTTAGAAATTCTAACCAGTCCTTATTTAAATTTAATATTTAAATTCATAAATATCCAACCTTAAAACTGAAATCGTCTTAACTAGTTAATTGATATTCTGAATTTGAAATATTAATCATTTAATAGAGCACCTATTTAAATTCCAAAATTACCTAAAACATAATAAGGATTAGAGAGAGCAATTTAAATTATTATCCCCCATAAATCTAGTCATTTAAAAAGCTATTAATTTTAAACATTCCTAATTGAATATCATAAATCTCCGCTTGGAATTACATTTGGATTATATTTTCATATTTGATTGACATTTTAAATGCTATTACAAATAATGTTCCGCCCCATCTTCAAAACGTGTAATTCGAATATCTCATCATTCGGCGCCGCACCTAGGATTGTGTCTCAGGTGAAATGACCCCCCACCTATGGGCAACCTAACTCCTCCTCTAATAACGTAGGGCATAAAAAACACAATGAAATTTCATATTGCAATCGATTGCGGTAGAGGTTATGCCATAAGGGGTTCGGAAAGGGGAACATGGTGTAATACAAATGTATAAACTCAAATAAAGGTAGACAGACAACCGGGAAATAAAGGAAGACAAATGAATATTACAATAATTACATTTAACCATTATGCCACATACATCATCTCCGCTAGTAATACCAAACGATATCGATTCAATGAGATGGAACCCAGAGAACGAACGAACCAAGGAACGAAAGACACATGTAAAGAGGACAACTAAAGCTGCACCCACTGCACTTTCCCCGATAAAAATAAATTCAATTTGAAAAAGTGCTCGCACGGAATAGATATGCCGGCAAGGAGAGCGTCGTAGACTACCGCTTGGCAATTTTGCACGTTTTACCTGGCACGCAGTTAGCAATTGACATATGTCACCTTTTTTGCCCAGACCATTCCCCGGGTGATAACATGCTGTAGAATAGTTGTTATCCAGATGCAACTACGACAAGCTACAATCATGCAGCACCACTACTGCTACTACCATTTTACAAACCAGGCAGCAACTAATGGGGCGTAAACGAAAGGTAGCACGAAGAGGAGAAAAAACGTCTAAAGAGGGCGTGTTGGCTCTTTGAGATACATTCTTAAAGATGGAA